CTCAACAGTATTGCAGGTTTGCTATCTCGCTGCTCTACGCGTCCTATCGGATGTCGACGAAAAGACTATGGTTATGGATGTTGGGACTCATTTATTCAGTGTCCTCACGTTTGTCAATATCCTTTTTCGGTATAGAAATGTACTATAAAAATGCATTAAACCTGAACAGACGAAATTAAGGCTTGATAAAAAAAAAAAATCTGGAAATATGTGAGGATAGTAGCAGTCCCCCGTATAGACAAATTTCACTTATTTGTTAAAATGTTCTGCTGAAGGGAATGACTAGTATAATCCTAACCTCCAATAACACTGTAGATTTAGGTCAAAGAAAGGAACTTGTGATCTTGTGCTTCACCTAATCGAACGAGAATGTTGCACTTCACACTCACACCTCGAATAAACAACCACCAATGCCATTGTACTTGGAGCAGTATTCTTGGCCCCGCTTTGCAAGAACATCTACTTCAACGATATCTTTCACCCTACGCAGTCGAATTAATATATATACTCAGTTTTACGAAGAAATGCCATTTTACTGTTAATGATAAATCGGTGTAACTTTTAGAGGCAGGTGACGCCAACCTCAGACAGAACTCAGGATATGCTGATACCTCGCAGGGAACTCAGCTCGTGTAAATATTAGCGTTTTCATTAACTTGGACAAATTCCAAAATAATATGAAGTAAAAAGACGAGTTGGTACGTTAAACGGGCAAGATATGAGCCGTCTCTTAAGTATAATTTTATGCATCTTGTGTATATATACACACATAAATACGCATACTCTGTGCACACACACAGGCACACAATGTGTGTCTGTGTGTACAGGTGTGTGTGTGTTCATGTATGTATATGTGTATACATATACGTGTATGTGTGTGTGTGTGTATACATACACTACACACACACACGCACACACACACACACACACACACACACACACACACACACACACACACACACACACACACACACACACACACACACACACATATGCATACACACACACACACACACACACACACACACACACACACACACACACACACACACACACACACACACGCATATATACATATTAGAGAGAGAGGGGGGAGCACAGAAACACCGAGAGAGAAAGTCAAAGAAGAGGTTCAATAAGACGAACCCTCAGTCCCACCTTGCAACGCCTGAACTGCAATCCTGATTTACATAATAATGAATCTCTTTCACAGATGCAATGTGCTCATCGCATATTAAAGAATTTCACATTCCCGACATGAACCACTCTGGAGAGTCTGAAAAGGTAGATGGATGTGGCTGTCATCTTCACCTGTTGCCGCCCTTATCTTGGGCCCTGTGACGTCACTGATGGGAGCTGTGACGCTATGATAGGCGTCACCCCGCTCCTCGGTTGTGCTTTTAGCTCTGTCTGAACGTGTGGTATTTTTACAAGCGTACTATATACATATATATATATATATATATATATATATATATATATATATATATATATATATATATATATATATATATATATATACATGCATATATACACACACACACATATGTGTATATATATGTATATATATATATATATATATATATATATATATATATATATATATATATATATGTGTGTGTGTGTGTGTGTGTGTGTGTGTGTGTGTGTGTGTGTGTGTGTGTGTGTGTGTGTGTGAGTGTGTGTGTGTGTGTGTGTGTGTGTGTGTGTGTGTGTGTGTGTGTGTGTGCGTATACACAAACACACACACACATGCGTTCGTCCGCATGTGCATACTTTCATACTGGTCAGAAGCGTTTCTGGGAGCAGCCCTTCGCCTCTGGGTAAAATGTCTTATCTCCTCTCGCTTCTGTCAAAAAGCTACGCAGCAACTCACTCGCTTGAGATAAAATGACCCAATTTCCCTTTGTTCACGTGAAAGCTTTCTTAGCCTCGGCAAATGGCTGATCTGGAGTTAACCTCACCTTCATATTATGAGTGGAGAGCTAACTCCGACCCACCATCGTCCATCCTGCAACCAATGAAAGCAATAATGTTGTGGGATTTCATTATCATGGATGTGGGCACCCGCACGATCCAACGGTCATTCGGGACGCTGGAGACGGCTTTCCTGACGCGGCGGAGGATGCGATACGGTGAAAGTACCGCTTTTTTTTCTTTCTTTCTTTTTAACTATATATATATATATATATATATGTGTGTGTGTGTGTGTGTGTGTGTGTGTGTGTGTGTGTGTGTGTGTGTGTGTGTGTGTGTGTGAGTGTGTGTGTGTGTGTGTGTGTGTGTGTGTGTGTGTGTGTGTGTGTGTGCGTATACACAAACACACACACACATGCGTTCGTCCGCATGTGCATACTTTCATACTGGTCAGAAGCGTTTCTGGGAGCAGCCCTTCGCCTCTGGGTAAAATGTCTTATCTCCTCTCGCTTCTGTCAAAAAGCTACGCAGCAACTCACTCGCTTGAGATAAAATGACCCAATTTCCCTTTGTTCACGTGAAAGCTTTCTTAGCCTCGGCAAATGGCTGATCTGGAGTTAACCTCACCTTCATATTATGAGTGGAGAGCTAACTCCGACCCACCATCGTCCATCCTGCAACCAATGAAAGCAATAATGTTGTGGGATTTCATTATCATGGATGTGGGCACCCGCACGATCCAACGGTCATTCGGGACGCTGGAGACGGCTTTCCTGACGCGGCGGAGGATGCGATACGGTGAAAGTACCGCTTTTTTTTCTTTCTTTCTTTTTAACTGTGCAAGACACTGTCTTCGAGGGGAGAGCTAAGGGACGCGCGGTGAATCTTTATATTTACAATTAAGATTACTTTCATTTCAGGTTCATCCATTAATGCCAGACATCTTGAATACATCGGATTTCTCTCTCTTGAGCTTAGACTTTTTATCTTTCTTTGAAAAGACATTAATTTATTCGCAGACACACATAGGCACTCACAAACACACACTCATACACACACCTACACACACACACACAAACACACTCATTCTCAAACACACACACACACAGGCACCTACATACACACGTACGTACACACACATAGGTGAAGAAGGAGCTCCTTCTGCGGTCCCCTGTAGAGCTCTGTCAAACTCATTTTCATTCCCTGATTCGACTCGATGCCCCGAGATTATCACTGACCCCAAACCTTTGATCGGCCACCTAGCATGATCTTTCGTCCCTGAATGACTCCCATAGGATTGATGTCACGGGGTAAGTATTTGCTGACACCTTTACGTAAAGAGGATGCTTTGTCATCGTCTGCGTTTGATCACTTTTATCGTGAGTATCCCGGAAATGAGAGAGCTCGAATACCCTACTGAAGCTCAGAATTTTAGCATCATCACCCATTCCTCTGATGAATTTGTCGAATTACTGATAATGGGCGATCTCCTACCCCATCTCATTCTTACAACCTTTTTTTTTGTCCTTCCTATATCAGTAATTTCCTATTATCTGTCCATTTCAGTCTCGCTGCTGGACTTTCTAGGCGATGTCCTGCACGAGCCCTCAGTCACACACTGTAGACTCACGTGTTATTTGTTTGGGCACCTGACGTCACCGCAGTGCGTGTGTAAATAGTCGAACTGAACTCCCTCTCAGTACGAACCTTGTCTCGCACCTGCTTAACCGTCTCATTGTTGAAGGAGCCGCCACACTGGCATTCTCCAATACCTAATTTCCCCTCATGGCTTCTATACCGTTCCCATCTGCCTCCGGTGACGTGGCACATGTCAAATGAAGTTTCGTACTTACTGTGCTGTTTTGTATTTGGCGGAAAAGACATTTCACATTTGATTGATGCTAATTAGCAAAGATGATTTGAACTTTGTTGAACAATCATAAAGATAAGATATAAATAAGAACAGCAACCACGATGTAAAAAGAAATAACGTACGTTAACAATAGGTAAACATTTGCATCGAGTAAACTAGGTTAAAGTGTATGCAACTGAGCCAGCAGCCTCGGGGAGTTACTCGCCAGACTTCAGCGTCCAAGAAGATTTAGACTTCGCAACATCTTCTTCCCTCCCACGTTTTTTTCTCTTTTATTTTTCTTTCGTCTGTGTGGTTCTTATATTCTTTTAGCAAACAATTTACATGGAGATATGTACATAAGGTCAGTGTGTGTGCGTATGTGTGTGTTTGTGTATACAATATACACACACATACACACACACACACACACACACACACACACACATACACACATATATATATATATATATATATGTATATATATGTATATATCCATATACATATATATACATGTATATATATATAGAGAGAGAGAAAGAGAGATAGATAGATAGATATAGACATATATATATATATATATATATATATATATATATATATATATATATAAATATATGTGTGTGTGTGTGTATGTGTGTGTGCATTTATACATATAAATGTATAGGGTATACATATATCCATTTATATACATACACACATATATATCTATATCTATCTATCTATATACATATGTACACACACATACACACACACACACACACACACACACACACACACACACACACACACACACACACACACACACACACACACACACACACACACACACACAAACACACACACACACACACACACACACACACACACACACACACACGGAAGTAAGTGTCGATGAATCATATTCCTCACCCTATAACTGCTACAAATCATTTACAGGTATTGACCGAAATCCTGTTTACCTCTGCCGTATTGATCAAATAATGTTGTTGCAGAATGTTGTTCATGTAACTTACTTTCATTTGCAATAGCGCACCATGTTGTGCATCATATGCCTTGCATTTCTTTGATTAATTAATATACCATATAATTAGCGAGGACTCGTTATATTCCTAAAGTGTATCAAAATTGCCGAAAAAACCTAATATTTTTTAATTAGTAAAGAGACATGTGCTAATTATACAATATTATATCATGATAAATACCATCACCTCTTTTCTTTCTTCCACTA